ATATATATATTTTTTCTATTATACACAATGTATAAATTTAAATTTCCAAATATAAATTATAGAAAGGATGTAAAGATTAGAGGAAATGAGAGGAAATAATTATAAATTATAAGTATCGTATTCAGTCATTATTCAGATTAACAATCGCGAAATGCTACATCAGATAAATCTATTTCTTGAATGCTTAGTCCGAAAGTTCGAAAAAAATAATATATCAATATCTCAAATCATGCATTATGCGAATAACGAATAGAAAAATGTGTGTGTGTATGTGTATAAAAGCATAGAAAATGTACTTTCATCTAAAAAATATAAAAAAATTACTCGTGTTTTAACAGAGAGCATCAGTTTTCTCAAGTCAATTTTAACTTATAATTGTTTCAAAACTATTCTATATAAAACAAAAGACGACAAAAGATATACTTAGCGAGACGCTACCGCGTCCCTTAATAATATATAATTTCTTTTATAATTATATAATATTTATTTTACACGTTTTTTAAATCTCTAGCTTAAGAAGTAAAATATCTCTTGAAAATTTATGTGCTTTATTCCGAAAGTTTGCATTAATGAAACTTATCCAACATTAATTGATCAAAATAATCATATAAGAAATTACATGTGTATTATTTCTTAATTTTTTAAAAATTATTGCTATTTGCTATCGCATTTGTTTGATGTCCTCTTTTCGGTTTAATAAAAGCCAACTGCGATTGAAAATGCAAATATTTTTCAAAATAAAATATTATTAAAGAAATAATTATTGCTCATAAAGAGAGATAAAAACGCGAAACGATAATTTATTATTTTGGACTTCTGTCACTACGTTTTGTACTTGAATAAATAAAATAAAATTTAATTAAAATTGAATAAATAAATTACACAGAATATGCGCTTTGAAATTTATCGTTGCGATATAATTAACATATGATTGAACGTATTTAAGAGATAATTAATCACGTTAATCATATCAAATTATTCCCCATAGTTGGCACGTGTGGAAAAGGAATTTGACGGAGCGTCTCGCATCACTACTTTTCTGTTCAAGTGTTGGCATGCAAATGACAACAAGGCCGTAATATGTAAATAATAACGCGCTATACGTCACCAAGGCCGAACATCTTGTTATTGATAATATATATATGTTGCCGAAATATTTCACATACAATGACTATATATATACTATATATATATATATACGCGGAATATTAAATTATATGTATAAGTATTTTAAATTATAGATTAATTATTTATTAATCGATAGATGTGTATCACGATCCTTTCGTTAAGTTAGTTACTCGAACCTGCGATTCAATTATTTAATTGTGCGTTTCCAATATTAATCATATTTAGATCGTTGAACAGTCGAACGATAAAAAATACCGGAAGAGATATATTTAACTTTATAATATTTAATTTAAATTCAATTTAAATA